TCACCGGTATCGCCAAACACTACTGCTGGCCCCATATGGCAGACGACGTCCAGAAATTCGTCACCTCGTGTGATACATGTCAGCGGATGAAGAGCAGCAAGCAGAAAAAGGCGGGACTACTGCAGCCTCTTCCTGTCCCAGAACAACCATGGCAAGTGGTTAGCCTAGACTTCATCACCGGGTTACCACCTACCTCCAGCGGTCATGACGCCATCCTTGTCGTCATTGACAAGTTCTCCAAAATGGGACACTTCATCCCGACACACACGACGGCACGCACCGAGGAGACAGCACAGCTCTTCGTTCGTCACATCATCTCACAGCATGGCATCCCAACTACACTCATCTCCGACCAAGACCCCAAGTTTACTAGCAAGTTCTGGAAGGAACTTATGTCTCTGCTCGGCACCAAACTCGACATGTCATCCGCATACCATCCGCAGACAGACGGACAGACCGAGCGCCTCAACCAAATTGTTGAGCAACTCCTCCGAGCAGCCTGCAAGGACGACATCTCCAAATGGGACTTGCACCTACCCGTCCTGGAGTTTGCCTACAACAACGCTACACACGCCGCTACGGGACAGACGCCGTTCTTCCTCTGCTACGGACGCCACCCACTCACACCACAGAAACCGACAACACCAGCAACAGTCCAACCTGCACACGACTTCATCACAACCATGCATCAGCTTTGGGATCGGACCCATAAGCGCCTCCTTGACATCCAACAGCAACAAAAGCGCCAAGCCGATCGCCATCGCAACGATCACACCATCACGGTGGGCGACCAGGTGCTTCTCGACACCCGCAACCTGGACATCAGCCATCTCCCATCTAAACTTCGACCTCGCTTCTGCGGGCCTTTTCTCGTTGAAGCACAAGTCACTCCTGTTACCTTCCGCTTACGCCTGCCAGCTACCTGGAAGGTTCACAACGCCTTCCATGTCCAACTGCTGAAGCCCTATCGGGATCCTAATACGATCTTCGTCGGACGCCAACCGCCGCCGCCGCCGCCCGTCCTCGTCCAAAATGAACCCGAGTACGAGGTCGAGTCCGTGCTTGCACACCGCCGTCGTCGGAATGGCACCGTGGAGCTTCTTATTCGTTGGAAGGGCTATGATCCTTCTGAGGCCAGCTGGGTATCTGAGACCGACATGGGTAACGCCCGTCGTCCTCTGCATGACTACCTTGTCAAGCAGGGTGTTACTTCTACCACCCAGCTTTGAGGGGGGGAAGTGTGAGAGTACGACTCCGTTACACCACTTGGCCTTTTCCATATTTCATCTTCATTTCATTCCTCTTTTTATCTCATCTCCTTTTGCCTCATATTCCCCATTTTCCATTATCCTTTGGTTTCTTCCCTTATTATAATTATATCACCGACCAAGCATGGAATGTTCTAGACACGCTATCTAGCGTAATCCTGTCGTAATCTCTTAAAGCCAATAGCCTCGCGTGGCTATACGCAGGGTGATTCTATCTTCTAGAAGGGTCTATTCCCTTAGGATAAGATAAACCTGGTTACCTGATGTACTCTGGAAGTATAAAAGCGCCTTGTACTGATCGATAGTGCAACCTTTCCTCGACACATTCGATCCTGTGACACTGCGCCTGTTCCTCTCCTGCCGTCTCCCCCTCTTCCCGTCTACGGCCCCGTGTTCCCTCTGCCAGACTCGTCCCCGGCTCGTCTTCCCCCTCGTTCCCCTCCTGTGTCCCCTCCTCTGTCTCCTGACCCGACGCCGCCCTCACACGTCTGGTCTCGCCGCCCCTCTCGTGCTCGTCCTGTCTCCCCTGTCCCGCGCTCTCACCCTATGTTGCTCCGTTCCCACGCGTCTCGACCTCCCCTCCTCCCGTCTCCTCCTCCGTCTTCTCTTGTCGTTGCGTCTCCTCCTCTGTCCGACTCCTTTCGTGCCGCTCGTCCTCTTGTTCCTCGGGTCCTTGCCTCTCTCGTTACCGACCCGTCTGTTCCCGTGTCGAGTCTTGACGCCCTCGTCGCTGCGGTCGCTGACTTCGCCTCTACCCGCCGCCTTGACTACGCCACCGCTCTGGTCTCTCACCCTGCCTGTCCTCCGTCTGTCGGGGGTGCTCCTGCCCTCGGCAGTGACGTCCTGGAGGACCGCCAGTTTGAGCTTGCTTTCCTGTCCGAGGCTGCTCCCCATCTCTGTTCCATGCTGCTAGTCCCTGAGGGTGACCCAGACGCTTTCGACATCCCGACCCCTCGTACTTACGCTGAGGCGGTTTCGGGACCCTGGGCCTCTCAGTGGATAGCTGCCATGGAGCAGGAGATGGCATCTTGGAGATCCACCGGCACCTTCGTCGACGCAGTTCCCCCACCTGGGGTGAACGTGGTCGATGGCCGTTGGCTCTTCAAGGTGAAGCGCCCTCCTGGAGAGCCGCCTGTGTTCAAGGCGCGCTACGTGGCTAGAGGCTTCAGTCAGCGCGAGGGGGTGGACTTCTTTCAGACTTTCGCTCCTACCCCGAAGATGACTACTCTTCGGGTGCTGCTACACGTAGCGGCTCAGCGTGACTACGAGCTTCACTCCCTCGACTTCTCCACTGCCTTTCTTCAGGGCAGCCTTCACGAGCAGGTCTACCTGCGTCGCCCTCAGGGCTTTACTGGCACCTTCCCCCCTGGGACCCAGTGGCTTCTGCGGCGGCCAGTCTACGGCCTGCGCCAGGCGCCTCGTGAGTGGCACGACACTTTGCGTGCTACCCTTGCTGACCTGCAGTTCTTTCCGTCCTCTGCAGACCCCTCGCTCTTCGTTCGTGCTGGCTCGACTCCGTTCTACATCCTCGTCTACGTAGACGACCTGGTCTTTGCCACTGCTGACAGGGACGCACTGGCCTCCGTGAAGGCAGAGCTGCTGAAGAGACACACCTGCACTGACCTTGGAGAGCTGCGCCGTTACCTTGGCTTGCAGATCTCCAGGGACAGAGCCGCGCGCACCATCACCCTGACTCAGTCACACTTGGTGCGCCAGGTCCTTCAGAGGTTCGGCCTTCAGTTCTCCTCCGCACAGCCCACCCCTCTTCCTCTGGACCACAGACTCTCCGCTCCAGTTCCTGAGGAGTCGGTAGATCCCAGTGGTCCTTACGCTGAGCTAGTGGGTTGCCTCATGTACCTGATGACTTGCACTCGCCCAGATCTCGCATACCCTCTCAGCATCCTGGCTCGTTTCGTGGCCACAGGCAGGCACCGACCTCAGCACTGGTCTGCCGCTAAGAGGGTTTTGCGTTATCTTGCAAGTACATCGGGCATGGGGTTAGTGCTAGGCGGACGCAGGCCAGTGGTCCTTACTGGACACACAGACGCTTCTTGGGCAGACGACGCCGAGACGCTCAGGTCTTCCCAGGGCTACTGCTTTAGCCTTGGTTCAGGTGCTGTCTCGTGGAGAGCTACCCGCTCTTCGTCTGTTGCCCAGTCCAGCTGTGAGGCCGAGATCTACGCCGGTGCCATGGCGGCACAGGAGCTCCGCTGGCTGACCTTCTTGCTCACTGACTTAGGTGAGCGGCCTAGCTCTGCCCCGGTCCTGTACGCTGACAACAGGGCCATGATCCTCCTGTGTCAGGAGCCTTGACTCGAGGGCAGAGCGAAGCACATCCAGCTGCGGTACTTCCTCCTGCGTGAGCTACAGCAGCGTCGCCAGGCTCGCGTAGTACACTTAGCCTCCGGTGCCAACACAGCTGATATCTTTACGAAGGCGCTTGCGCCTAAAGATCATCAGCGGCACTGTGTGCAGCTTGGTCTGGTTCCTGTAGTCTCTCACTTACTCGGGCCTTGACTCTGTACTGTCCTATATATCTGTGTGTACACTCAGACTGGACTTGTGTCCTCTTACAGTGGTTGGACTAGTAGTGCCGCCCTGTACTAGTTCTTGCCTTGCCTGTACTCCTTCTGACTGGTCTTTTAGACCCTTGTCTCAGAGGCTGGACTAGTAGTGCCACCCTGAGCTGCTTGTCTAGAACATTCCCCTATGCAGTCTAGGGGGTGTGTCAAACATGTTTAGTTATCATGCTTGTATAGACTGTATAGGGTTATCTTCTAGAGAGTACAACATTTAGGTATATGTTTGTGTACTCTCTCTCTCTATTCATCAATTTCACTGTGTGTTACAAACATGTGTATCTCCTATGTTTGCATAGACAGTATAGAGCCACCTCTTAAAGAGTACAACACTTAGGTATATTCACATGTACTCTCTCTTTACTCAATCATTCAGTTCTCATTCTAACAGGTACAACCCAAACGCTAATCTCCCATGTTCTCCATTCTTCTAATCATACTTTCTAGTCTGAACATGTGTTAGATTATATATTTGATAGATATATAATGGTAGGCTTGGTAGGTGTTACTGGATTCTATTGTAGAGGGTGTAACTCCCCCTTCTTGTATCCCCCTCTCTTCTTTTCAATCCCTCTTCACTTTCGTAACTTACTCCTTCTAAAACCTCATGCCATTCATAGCTCCTAATCCTACTTGAATCCTAGTATTCTAACATGCAGCGCGCATGCCCTCGACTCTCGGAAGTTCAGGCCTGTCCAACTTCTTCGGTCCCGAACCACTTCGTCAACCCAAACCTAGACGTGTGGCGCTTTGTGGATTTCGCCAACCGGACCGCCCCAACCTGTTCGCGTGGTTCTCGACTAGCTCTGTTCGCGCCTATAAATGCCTAGGCCCTCAATTGTATCGACACTCTTGAATCACGACTCATTTATTACACTACTTGTTATTACTCTGATTACTTCATAACAGGCCACCGTTATCGTTACGTTTTCGCCATCTAGATCTGCCCTGACACACATGGCGTCTCGACTCTCGCCTTACTGGGCTTTTCTGACAGGCGGGAAAGCACTGCCAGTCTGCCACTTGGCACACATCTTTGCGGGTTCGGTTTGGTGGTATGCCACGCCCTGTGACACCATGGCCGCTTGGTCCTTGCCTGACCCATGCCTTTCACCCCATGTCATCTATGACTTCATATCTCCACTCTCAAACGCAACTTCAGCTGTACGTTCAACCAGACACATTTGTTGTGGAGCTCCCTACCATCGCGAATCTGCCGTTTGTAGACACCACTTCACCTCTCGGGCAGAGCCATACGTCGATTCTGAGCCGGAATCCAGATCTGAAAGTACATTAGTTCGTTCGAATGGTGAGATACGCTACGGTTCTTTTCGTCATACTAGTCGTCGAATCGCGGCTGTGCTTATGGTTAAAACTTCTTTTGTTTCTCCTTTTCGTTGACACAGGCTCTCCCTGGTCAGGCAACGCCTGATGGTGTTCCTAGCTTTAAGCTGATTCTCGTTGGTGATGGCGGTACAGGTAGGTCTTGCTTCAGCAGAATCATTTTTATGGCTCTCGAGAAAGCGATGTTGCGTTGTGCTAAGCCGTTTTCTCCTCGTCTGTTCCAGGGAAGACTACCTTTGTGAAGCGCCATTTAACTGGTGAATTCGAAAAGCGCTATGAACGTAAGTGGAAATCTGTGGTAGAGTGGTCAGTTGCGGTATGTCCTCGTCATGCGTGATGTTCTCACAACCGCGTCGTTGCCCGTGCCGCAGCCACCATCGGCGTGGAAGTCCATCCTCTCGACTTCTACACCAACTGCGGCCGGATTCGTTTCTACTGCTGGGACACGGCGGGTCAAGAGAAGTTTGGCGGGCTTCGCGATGGTTACTAGTAAGCTCTTCGACGATTGACTTCGCCGTTTTCCCCATTCGTAAACCATTAGTGCACTCTTACGTACTTCCGTCTTTCGCTGCGTAAATTCGAGCGTGGTATTGTTCGAGCGTTATACTACGAAGCATTTAGCGGAGTTGAATATGGCTCGGAAGTTATGCTCGGTCTTAGTACAGCTGGAGATCAATCGTGCTCGATGGCTAGCGCGAGCCAAGGACCGCTTTTGGCCGTTATAGATTAGATGCGATGTAGACTGCAGACTCCTAGGTTTTCTTTCTGATCGTTAGATTTAAGCATAACCGTTCTATCCAGCCTCTCGGGCCGTTTCAGCGATTATGAACTGACTGGTTTTGTCGTCTCCCCCCTGTTCATCCCCTCAGTATTCACGGGCAATGTGCGATCATCATGTTCGATGTGACGTCGCGGCTGACATACAAGAACGTCCCAACGTGGCACAGAGATCTGTGCAGGTATGTGGTAGCCTGTGGGTTCACTGGACAAAACCTGGAGGGCAGAAGCTCACACTTACTCTTTCCCCGTTTCCAGGGTCTGCGAGAATATTCCCATCGTTCTCTGTGGAAACAAGGTTGACGTGAAGAATCGTCAGGTGAAGGCCAAGCAGGTCACTTTCCATCGCAAGAAGAATCTCCAGTACTACGAGATTTCAGCCAAGAGCAACTACAACTTCGAGAAGCCCTACCTGTACCTTGCCAGAAAGCTCGCTGGGTAAGCTGGGTCACAATTGCAACTTTTCAGGAACTGTTTCTAACTAAGGTTTGTGTTTAATTGAGCTGCTTGGATGATCGCGTGCTGTGCCTTCAGGGATGCCAACCTGCACTTCGTGGAATCACCTGCTCTTGCACCGCCTGAAGTCACGATCGATCTCGCCCAGCAGGCAGTGTACGAGGCAGAGCTTGCTGCAGCTGCGGCCCAGCCACTTCCAGACGAAGACGACGATCTGCAGGAGTGATTTGTTGGTTGGACGCAGTCCCGAGCAGTGTCCATGTTGTAGCTGGAGTCATACAGGCCTCCAATTAGGCAATTTACAAGCTACCAGTAGTTCATACTTGTAGGAACCGCTGCTTATTCAGCAGCCGAGAAGTGTGCTGTCACCAACGTGCTTAACAACGTGTTCTAGTCCTGGTCTAGTGCTTGTACCTTGCCACCTCAACCGTTGGTACAACTATGGTATACCCACCCACCTATGGTAAGACTACGAAGGTTGGCGAGGAGTTGGCCATAACGAAGTGAGAAAGATGTCGAACACCTCGTCAGTCAACAGCCCATTGACAGTAAATGTTTTGGACTGCAAGCGAAGGCCAAGCTTGAAAAATAGCAGTCAGAAAACAAGGCAGGATTACAAGCTGAGCTCAAATCATAAATTGAATCATCCATTTCACCCAGTGGACAAACTTTCACACAGCAAGGTTTCTGACTCGTTGCCTGAGCTCCTCCAGCTGCTGCGTGGACGACTGCAGCTGTGTCAGCAGGGTGTCCACACGCACCAGCTCATCATCCACTGCCTGCCGGTACGGCGCCAGCTCAGCACGAATGCGCGCCTCCAGGTCGCCCAGCTTGGCCTGCAGCTCGCCCTCCAGCCCCGCCTCGAGGCGCTTGATGAGCCCCGCTGCGCGCTGCCGGATCTTGCCCTTCACCGCCTCGCGTCGCTGCGGGAAGGTGAGCACGTTCAGCGAGCTGGGGGGGGGGGGAGGAGGGAGGGCCAGCATGGATACATGGCGAGTGTGGAATGATATGGTTGCTGATGCGGTTGATGGGAGAGCGAATGGCAACAGACAGACAAACCTGCGGAGCCCACCATCCTGTGGGAAGACTCCCCTTGCTGCGGTGGTTGGTGCAAGGAAAGACTGACCAGCATGGTGCAACAAGGCTCACCCGTCAGCATGGTGCAACAAGGCTCACCCGCCAGTGGTGCAGACGGTGAGGGCGAGCAGGTCCTCCAGCGTGGACTGCAGCACCCCTGTGAGCACCGCCGCCGCCACCCCTGCCACACCCACGCCTGTCACCGCCCCCACCACCTGGTGCCATGTGCACAGGGGATGAGATGCACCAATGGCAGCGGCACGACACAGAGCGGGAGAGACATAAATGACAGGAGGGATGGACGGGACGGGCTTGTCAGACAACGGAGGAAGAAGCGAGGAGGATGGGGATGGACGAAGTGGCGAGGGCAAGAGGGGGCCGCATGCAAGCATGGTGGCCAAAACCAGAACGCTGGCTACCGGCAGGATTGACCAGAGCCCGTGGAAGAGCGTACGAGAAAAGAAGGTCTATGACTTTTTGAACAGCACACCCACCATCTCACGCTTTCCCCCATCTCACCAGTCCCCCAACCTAACCCAATCCCTACTCTCAACTCCCTACTCTCATCAACTCCCTCCTCTCACCAACTCCCTCGTCTCATCAACTCCCTCCTCTCACCAATTCCCTCCTCTCATCAACTCCCTCCTCTCACCAATTCCCTCCTCTCATCAACTCCCTCCTCTCATCAACTCCCTCCTCTCACCCCCCCCCCCCCTCTGCTTACCGACTCCCTCATTTCTTCCTCCAGCAGCAGAGCAGCGGCCCGCGGGCTGAAGCCCTCCAGAATGCCAACCGTCTCGGGGATCCTCCCCTCGGCCTCGCCGTCGCTCTCCTCGTCCGCACCCCCCTGTGGCCGGGGCACGGCGGGCCATCTGGTGCGCGCGAAGTCGCGGTAGCTGGCGAGCTGCCGCGCGTTGTTGGACGCCAGCCACACGTGGTGCTCCACCAGCGCGCGCTGGGAGGGGGGGGGAAGGGGGAGAGGGGGAGAGGGGGAGAGGGGGAGAGGAGTGGGGGTGCAGGATTGGAGTGGTGGGTGGGGAGTCAGATTATGATGAGAGAAGGTAGCTGGGATGAGGAAAGGAGTCACAGGTGGGACATTTGGCAGGGACGAAACGAAACAAAATCCAGCATTGGCACACAGGTCCGTGGCCACTTGCATGCTGTTCTTACCCGCACGTCCGCCACCGCGGTGCCCACGATCTGCGTCTGGAAGCTCTTGCTCACGGGCAGCATGCCGCTGCCGCCCTCCTCACCCCCTACGCTGCCCCCCCCGGCCCCCCGTGGCGAGAGCAGGTACTGCAGCATGACGTCGCCGTTGCCCAGGCGCAGCGTGGCCTCCACAAACTCCTCAGCCCTGCCCGCCGCCTCCCTCACCAGCGCCGCCACGCGCGCGCGCTGCAGCAGCGAGTCGGACCGCATGGCCTCGCGGTACCCCTCCATCTGCGCCTCCACCGCGCCCAGCGCCTCGTCGTCCCGCGCCGCCGCCTCCGCCTGCGCCGCCAGCTGCCCCGCAGCGCCCGCCACGAGCGCCGCTGCCACGCCCAGCGGCGTGTCCAGCTTCAGCCGCAGGCGCTCCGCACCCGCGTCCGAGGAACCTTCCAGGAACTGCTGAATGAAGATCTCCAGTTGGGCGAAGCCTGACGCCTGGTAGGAGGGGTCGCAGCGCAGACGCTCCGCTGCCTCCCGTGCCGAGAGGTCCAACGGGGCGGGCGCGGAGGAAGGGGCGAGGGCGGGCGAGGGCGCGGGGGGAAAAGGATAGGGGGCGGCGTGGAGCAGCTTGGCGGCGAGGGCGAGGCGGGAGGCAAGGGGGAAGCAGAGCACAGTATCGACGGCGAGCAGCTTGCGCACGTTGTCGGTGACAAACGCCTGCACCTCGCGCACGTCGGCGGGCGAGGAGAGCGCGTCCACCTTGTTGAGCGCGAAGACGACCTTCTTGCCCCACTGGCGGATGTAGCGCAGGAACGACACCTGGGGGGGCGGAGAGCGAGGAGGGGCCCAGGCGAAGGGGCAACGGCGTGTGGGTGGGGTGAGGGCATGGAGGGGTAAGTGAGAGTGTTGCTGGCATGCAGGGCAAGGATGCAGAGGAGCCGTGATATGGACGGTGCGAGAAAAGGAAGCAGAGAGAATGGATCGGTGGGCGAAGCAGCAACGACCACCCTGAGCGCTGTGCGGCGCGTCCGCAACCCCACGTGCAAATAGCCGTAAAACGCACACGGAGTGCATTCATAAGTATGACTACCCATTACCACAGCTATAACCATTCGGTGGGCTTTGGAGAGTGATTGTGAGAGCAACACGGGGCCACAGAGCAAATGAGCGGAGGGGAGCATGAGAGCGGCACCTCGGACTCGGTGAGGGGGCGGTCAGCGGAGAGCACGAAGAGCACGAGGTCGGCCTGCGGCACAAACTCCTCCGTGAGGCGCTGCTGCCGCTCCAAGATCACGTTGGTGCCAGGCGTGTCCACCACGTTCATCTGCCCGCCACCGCCACCACGGCCGCACAGGGGAGGGAGAGAGGGACAGCCATGGCAGGAGCAAGGGCGGGGAGGTTTCAGCATGCCAACACCACAACGCTTTGAGCCGTCACCTATTCGAGCCCCCTCACCTGTGTGAGCCCCCTCACCTGTGTGAGCCCCCTCACCTGTGTGAGCCCCCTCACCTGTGTGAGCCCCCTCACCTGTGTGTGTGAGCCCGGCCCTTTTCACCTGTTTGAGCAGGTCGGCCGGCAGGAATCGGATCATGTGGCCATCGGGGTGCCGCTGCTCCTCCACCGCCACGCGCCCCACCACCGCCCGCGCTGCCGCGCGCCCCGCCTCTGCGCCCTGCTGCGACCCCGCCGCCGCTGCCGATGCGGCGGAGGCGGAGGCGGCAGTGGCAGCGCGCGCACGCAGGAGGGAGGAGGGCGAGAGGTCGTGGTGGCGCAGCAGCGTGATCTCGTTGGTGGTCGGCACCACGCCCACCTTGAGGAACGCGTCGCCCAGCAGCGCGTTCACCAGCGATGACTTGCCCGAGTTGAACTCGCCCTGCGCGCACACACGCGGGGGAACGGTTGACAGATGCGTCAGGAAGGGTAGGACGGGGCTGGGGAGCGATTGAGAGACTTCAGTGAGTGAATGGACTCAAACAGATGCTTCGGAGTGAGTGAATGGACAAGACGCACAGCCCGAGACAAGACGCACAGCCCGAGACAAGACGCACAGCCCGAGACAAGACGCACAGCCCGAGACAAGACGCACAGCCTGACAAAAAAGCAGCACGTTGAAGACGCTTGGTTAAAACGTGGGGCACGGGCCAGAGTGATGCAGGGAGGGGATGCGTGCATGGGAGAAGCAGGGGAGAGACGCATGCAAGGGGATGCGGGCAAGGGTGCAGAGAGCACTGACCACGACGACGACGAGGAAAGGCTCGCCCAGGCGAGCAAGGGAGTCCTCGAGTAGTTGAATCTCCGCCATCTGAGGCGCAGGATGCAGCAACGCAGAGAGACGCAGAGGAGAGAAAGGGCATGGTAAGCAGCAGACCAGCAGATAGAGGAGGGTGGTGGTGCAGGCGGCGGGCATGAGGCGCGCGAGTGAGAATCACATGTGGCCGGCACACAGATGCTCCAGGGGTCATTCCCACTTGCCGCATTCTCTGTTCAAATTCTCCCTTGCCCCTGCGTTCCCCCTTGCTGCTTTCACATACGCTCCCAAGCAAGACAAAAGCCATTCACATCGGGGCATGCCACTCAAATCGGGGGATGCCACTCATATCGGGGCATGCTCCTCACATCGGGGGATGCCACTCACATCGGGGCATGCCACTCACATCGGGGCATGCCACTCACATCGGGGCATGCCACTCACATCGGGGCATGCCACTCACATCGGGGCATGCGGCACGGAGCAGGTCGAGCAGTGACGCCAGGAGCTTCCTCTCGGCCTTCATGATCCGCCGCCCCTCCAGATCCAACAGCCCCCGCCCGTCCATGCCCTTCCCCGCCCCCTCCCCATCCCCCTCCTCCTTCTCCTGCCCCGCCTCCCCCTGTGCGCTCACATCCTCCCCCCCCACTGCACTGGCAGCAGCAGGGCCAGGGGCGCCTCCTGCACCGGTCAGCACCTGCTCCAACTCCTCCCTCGCCACCTCCCTCGCCTCCTCCAAGCCACCCATCCCTCGGCCCGCCGCCTCCCCTGCACCTGCTACTTGCACCCCCCCTGCCCCATCTTCCCCCTCACTCTCATCCCCCTCCCCCTTCCCCGGCCCCGCCCCCCACTTGCCCCACCGGCCGTCCCCCATGGCTGCAACCAGCCCCCCCACGGCCGCTCGGATGGCCTGGCTCGCATCCCCTTCGCCGTTGCCCGCTGCTGCTGCTGCTGCTGCTGGCTGCAGGGCGGCGAGTGTGACGGCCACCCCGGTGGCCCCGCTGCGCATCACATCGCTCACCCACTGCTCTCCTCCCCCACCTGCTCCGCTCGCCCCCTCCACCACCACGGGGATCGTCACCTGCTGCGCCCTGATCTGCCGCACCGCCTCACTGGCAGAAGCAGTGGCGGGCGCAGCGGGGGGCGCGAGCACGATGAGGTCGGCGCCGTCTGCCGTGGTGGCAGTGACGGCCGCCGCCACTGACGCCACTCGGCGCGCCACGAGCGGCAGCAGCGGGCCCGACGCGGCGCTCTCCATCATGCGGCGCGCCGCCACGGCTGGCAGGCCTGGGGGGGGACGAAGGGCAGGGGCGAGGGGCACGGCGGAGGGCAGTGGGACGTAGAGCACAGCGGTTGAGCGGGTCAGAGGTTGGAGGAAGGGACGAAAGAGAGGAGGAGGAGTAAGAAGGAGAGGGGGCGAAGGAGCAGGTGGTGAGAGCACTCCACACACGTGGTTGGCGCCACGTGGCAGCCATGACACGCAGGTGCAGGGCGGCCAAGGGAGGTGGGGCATGCTGTGTGCGCCGTGCGCCCCCTCTTCCTCCACTGCCCTCCCTCCATCACACGAAGCCTGCTGCTGGACTTCCGCCCTCAATGTGCTGCACCCTCCACTCCTCTCCCCCTCCTCTCCCCCTCCTCCCCCGCCCCTCTCCCCTCCTCGCACACTACCTCTCCCCCCCACCCCCTTTTCCCCCCACCGCCCTTCCGCTCACCGTTATCGGACAGCAGCACGCCGTCGGCGCCAGCGGCGGCGGCGATATCGGCGCGTTCGGCCACCAGCAGGGGCACGCGCCCGCGCAGCAGCGCCTTCACGGCGCACGCCGCCTCGAACAGCTCCATGCCCGCGCCGCCCGCGCCCTCGTCCCCCACCACCACCATGCTCGCGCCCGCCGCCACCGCCGCGTCCACCGCCTCCGCGCTGCCCGGCGCCCCTCCGCGCAGGACGTCCGCGCTGGTCAGCGCCAGAAGCAGCGCGGGCAGGCGCACCTCCGCGCGCTTCTGGCCCGCGCGGAACGAGCCGACCGCCACGGAGCCCTGCCCGCCCGGCGTGGTCGCAGCGACGGGCACCGCCGCTCGCCTGGCGCGGCGTGGGGGGGCGCAGAGGGGGTTGATGGGGAGGCGGCGGGAGAAGAAGGGGCCATGCGCGCTGGAAAACGGCGCGAGTCGCGGTATGGGAGGAGGCGCAGCGAGGGGAATGGTAGGGCGCGAGAGAAGGTGTGGTGGGCGTGGGGCGACGCGCGCATGGAGGGGCCGCTGGGGGTGATGCGCGGCACACACGACGGTCAATGCCGCGTCGCGAATGTGCAACGTGGGCGTCATTGCAGGCTGGCGAGAAAGAAGTGGAGATTAGCTCGACGGACTTGAGGCAAGGACCTAACGGGCCAGCATGGGCGGTGAAGGAATGTCAGAATGGCTGACTGCCCCGCAAGCACGTGTTCTGGCCGTGATGCAGACTCCTGGAGAAGGAAAGGGCCGCAGGATTTGAGCGATCTTGCGAAATCCACTCCGCTTTTGAGACTACACCCCTACAACGACTAAGGTTGCCCGAGATATGAAAACAGTGTTGTTATGTTTTTGTTGTGATATGATTCATACTTAGCATTTCTGTAAGCCGATTATCGATAGATCGTGTCGAATACTTCTGTAGAAGATAAGTCCGTAGGATGACGTCATCAAATAGCTCTCGTCATGAGGACAGTCGTTTCAGTCACGCGAACAGTCGCGTCTCTTCAGTGTCATTTAGAGCGCATAGCGCGATAGTGACAACAGATACATTAGCGAACAGGTACTTCTGTTAGATATAAAAGGTAGCCTGTCTTCATTGTTTAGTTAACGCGATTCTAAACGTGGTTCTGAACTTTATTCTGAACTTGTTCTTAACTTGTTCTTCATTAAATTATGGTCAACACTTTACAAGTTCTAAGACTTCCGCTGTCTTACTAGTCTACCATTCCAGTAAAGATCCTAAGCTAACACTTGAGGTTTTCCAAGTGTTCGTGTTTGCAGATTCTATACTTGGTCTCCTGCGACACCTGTCAAATTATTACATGGTATGAGAGCTGTCTGGAATTAAGACTACTGTCAACAATAATTGGAACACCACCAGCACTGGAACTACTGGAGTACCTTGTCAAATATATGTATAACTCATATTTGTATAGACTGTATAGGGTCACCTCTTACAGGGTACAACACTCATAGGTATATACCCTTGTTCTCTCCCTCTATGCAATCATTCAGTTTTCTTTTGATATGGTATCACCCGTAGGTTCGACCCCCCCCCCCCCCACCTACCGCTTCCGCCCGTTCCTCCTAGGCCCCGTCGCGCTTTCACCTAGGCCCCGTCGCGCTGCCCCCACCTAGGCCCCGTAGCGCCCCTCCTGGGCCCCTTTCGCGCCTCCTAGCCCGTCGCGCCCCTCCTGGGCCCCTGCCGCGCCTCCTAGCCCGTCGCGCCCCTCCTGGGCCCCACTCGCACCTCCTAGCCCGTCGCGCCCCTCCTGGGCCCCTGTCGCGCCTCCTAGCCCGTCGCGCCCCTCCTGGGCCCCTGCCGCGCCTCCTAGCCCGTCGCGCCCCTCCTGGGCCCCTGTCGCGCCTCCTAGCCCGTCGCGCCCCTCCTGGGCCCCTATTGCGCCTCCTAGCCCGTCGCGCCCCTCCTGGGCCCCTGCCGAGCCTCCTAGCCCGTCGCGCCCCTCCTGGGCCCCTATTGCGCCTCCTAGCCCGTCGCGCCCCTCCTGGGCCCCACTCGCGCCTCCTAGCCCGTCGCGCCCCTCCTGGGCCCCTGGCGCGCCACCTAGCCCGTCACGCCCCTCCTGGGCCCCTCTCGCGCCTCCTAGCCCGTCACGCCCCTCCTGGGCCCCGCCGCGCCTGCCCGGCCCTGCCGCGCCTCCTGGCCCCGCCGCCCCTGACAGGCCCGCCGCACCTGCCAGGCCCTGCCGCGCCTGCCTGGCCCCGCCGCACCTGCTTGGCCCTGCCGCGCCTTCTGGCCCCGCCGCGCCTGCCTGGCCCTGCCGCGCCTCCTGGCCCCGACGCCCCTGACTGGCCCGCCGCGCCTGCCTGGCCCTGCCGCGCCTGCCTGGCCCCGCTGCACCTGCCTTGCCCCGCCGCGCCTTCTGGCCCCCCCGCGCCTGCCTGGCCCTGCCGCACTACCTGGCCCCGCCGCACCTGCCTGGCCCCGCCGCGCCTTCAGGCCCCGCCGCGCCTGCCTGGCCCCGCCGCACTGCCTGGCCCCGCCGCGCCTGCTTGGCCCTGCCGCGCCTCCTGGCCTCGCCGCCCCTGACTGGCCCCGCCGCGCTTGCCTGGCCCTGCCGCGCCTACCTGGCCCTACCACACCTCCCTGGCCCCGCCGTGCCTTCTGGCCCCGCCGTGCCTCCTGGCCCCGCCGCCCATGACTGGCCTGCCGCGCCTGCCTGGCCCTGCCGTGCCTGCCTGGCCCCACCGTACCTGCCTGGCCCTTTCGTCCCGGCTCGTCCTGCTGTGCCGCCTCGGGCTCCGTCTCCTCCGCTCGCCCGTGCTGAGGCGCTTCGTGGCCACTATGCTGGAGGGGGCTGTAGCTGAGTTCCTGTGGAGCTGTGCCGCTGACCCTGCACGATGGCGGACTTCGTGCTCCGACTGGACGCCGAGGGCCATGCGGTTGACTTCGCCGCCTGGCTCTCCGATCTCCGCCGCCACCTCACAGGTCAGCGTCAGGATGGCCACTCTTTGGTTGTCCATGTTGACGGCTCGCTCCCCCGCCCCCCCTCTGATGACCGTGAGACCTTCTCTACTGCTACGCTTGCCCGTGCGGTCTGGGACTCCCGCGATGCAGTCGCTCAGGTCGCCATTAGCCATGCCCTTCCTGTCTCTGAGCGCTCGCGTTTTGCTACTGTTGAGACGGCCAAAGCTTACTTAGACGCTGTTATTGCCCGCTATTCCACACCCGCGTCTGCTTCTGCTGGTCGCTTGCTCTTCCCTATGCTTTTCCCAGACCTTGCAGCTTTCCCTACCGTCGCAGACTTTGCCACTCACCTGCGTGCTCTAGAGACCCGCTATCGCACTGCCAGCACTGCTGCCCAGCTCACTGCGCTCCCCCCCCCTTTCTGCATGACGCTCTATTTTATTGCCATGCGCCTGCCACACCGCCTCGCTAGTGCTCGCGATCACTTCCTTAGCCTGCACCCGGCTGACCTCACTCTCACTGCCTTTGTCGACACCCTCACCGAGATCGAGACTCGCCAGCGCACTATCGCTCAGTCGAGCGGTGCGCCGACAGACTCTATCTTTCACGGCTGTGCCCCCTCCCAGTGCACGTTCACTGACGTTTTGGCTGCGGTCGCCACGCCGACCCCTCTCACCGAGACGGCTGCTGTGGTCCACCCGTAGCAGCGCTCGCGCTGCGGTGGCCATGGTTGCCAGGGTGGTAGGGGTGGTGGTGCAGGTAGTGGTGCTGGTGGTCGTGAGAGTAGTCCGTCTGGGGGGACTAGCATTGGTGGTCAGGAGCAGCAGCCCCAGCCGCAGCAGGAGCAGCCCGCACCGCAGCCGCCGTCCCAGCAGCAGCCGCCATCCCAGCCGCAGCCCCTGCAGCAGTGGGCTCACCTCCCGCCTGGTTGGCCCGGTTCCTAAGGGGGTGGTGGCAGTGGTGGCGGCCCGCGCAGCTTGGCGTCTACCAGCGGCTTCGGTGCTGTCACTTGTCAGTACCAGCTTCAGACCGGGCCCCTTCGCGGCACTCTGTGCCGCCGCCCGCACCCGACTGCCCGCTGTTTCCGCCGCCTCAACGATCTGTTTCGTCGTCGCTTTGGCCCGGCCCCGGACCTCGGCCGATCTTTGAGTTAAACATGGATCAGATACGTGCTGCTTTGCATGCCATGTATTCTGACTCTGCTAGTGTTTTGGATCTGATTATCATGTGTTCTCTAGTTTAGGTGTTGCACCGTTGTATAGCCTAGCCTCCCCTACTGCGTCAGGCGTAGGACTGCCTAGTTTGTCTAGCCTCGTCTCTGCACCGGCTCCGTTCCCCGCCCCTGCCACTGCTGCGCTGTCCTTCACTCTCGACTCCGGTGCTTTTGCCTGCTTCTTCTGCGACCGTTCCGCACTTACGCCGCTTGCTACGCCAGCTGTCGTCTCTCTCGCCGACCCCTCTGCGGGTCCTGTCGTCGCTCGCAGTTCTACGTCCCTTCCCTATCCAGCCGTTCCCTCGGGCTCCCTTACAGGCCTCCACGTTCCCTCATTCTCGAGGAACCTAGTTGGTGTCGGCTGTCTCCAGGACCTCGGCGTCACCACCACGTTCCCCGGGCACAAGCGGTTCGCTGTCTATTCTGAGGCTGTCTCAGGTTCCCCCCTTGCGACGTTCCCCAGGGACCCGGTGTCCGGTCTGTTTACCCTAGACACCGCCTCCCCTCCGGTTGGTGCGTCCTCCCAGGTTGCTGCAGCTTGCTCGTGTCGTTCCCTCACTCACCCGTCCCTTCTCTGGCACCACCGCTTAGGTCACCCTGCTCTCCCTCGTCTGCGTCACATGTCCCAGCACGGCCTTGTCTTAGGTCTCCCTGTGTCGCTCCCCGCCCTTCCTCCCTCGACTGCGCCACCGTGCACGCCTTGCGTCGAGGGCCGGCTCCGCCGTGCCCCTCACTCCTCCTCGCTGCGCACGGCTACTGCCCCCCTTCAGACCCTGCACCTGGACGTTTGGGGCCCTGCCCCCGTCCCCGGACCGCGCGGTGAGCGCTACTTCCTTGTGCTCATCGACGACTACACGCGCTACATCACGGTGTTTCCCCTGGAGCGGAAGGCCGACGTGCCCGACGTTCTTCTCCCGTGGGTTGTGGCTGCGCGTCTCCACCGCGGTCTCCCCGTGTTGTGTCTCCACTCCGACCGTGGCGGCGAGTTCGCCTCTGGTCGGCTTGGACAGTTTTGTCGTGCGGAGGGCATCACCCAGTCGTACACCTTGCCGGACTCGCCACAGCAGAATGGGGTTGCTGAGCGCCGCATCGGCTTGGTCATGGAGGTCGCCCGCACCTCCATGATCCATGCCGATGCCCCCCATTTTCTGTGGCCGTTCGCTGTTCGCTACGCTGCTCACCAGCTTAACCTGTGGCCACGCTCCCAGCGGCCGCAGGTTTCGCCGACCCTTCTTTGGACCGGGTCCCCCGGTGACACGTCTGCGTTCCACGTCTGGGGCTGCCTTGCTCACGTTCGTGCCTCTGGCACGGACAAGCTCACTGCCCGCACTGTCCCATGTGTCTTCCTCGGTTTCCCCCTGGACTCGTCTGACTGGCTTTTCTATCACCCGCCGTCTCACCGCTTCCTCCACTCTCATGACGTTACCTTTGACGAGTCCGTCTCCTTTTACCGCCGCTTCCCTAACCGAGGTCTCCCAGTTGCCCCCCCCCTGTTCCTTGCTCCCTCTCCCCTGGTAGCCCCTGCCCCTCTCCCGCCTCGTCCTGCCCCGTCTGGTGTCTCTCACATCACTCCCC